GAGTGCCTCCGAGTGATCACGTTCGGCCTGCCCAATTGCACTTCTCTCGCAGAGGCTATTCACGAGCAATAATGGCCCGCCGCTCTCAGTGCCCGCGGAGCCACACGGCCAACAGGCCTCGGGAGGAGGAGGAGAAAACCCGCCCCGCCCGTCCCCTCTGCGGCCACAGCAGCCTCAGCCGACTTCCGCAACACTGCTCAACCTTGGATGCAACACAAGACAAACAGGCGGCAAACGGCGCTGCAACAAACAACGACCGCGATTAATCTCGCCCAAAATCACTCGTTACTCACGAAAACCTGTCACAGAAACCATCTCTCCGCTGGCCGGTTGTGCTCGTTCGAAACCGTTTGACTGTCCGTTGCTGGATGAGCACCTGCAAATCCCCAGTAGGCGAGCAACGTGGGCGGGGAGACCTTGCATCGCCTCGCAAAACATGTCGAGTTTATTCAATACAAATTATCTAACTGCAGCCACGAGCCTTCAAACTGGCTCGTGTCTCCAAAGCTTCAGTTGGTTCCTCGTGTCGGGTAATGAAAACATCCCCTACCCGGGCCGGGATCGACAAAGCACAGCTGAGTGGAGTGCACGGCTTCTCGCACGAGTTCGCCTCGCCGTGGCATCCCCGTCACGTGCTCCTCTCCGTAACTCCATCACGCGAATCGCCCCCGCCGTACCTTCACGATTCGCTTTCTTCTCCCGCGAAACGAGGCGTCATTTCGGATCCTGCGGCGGCCACACGCTCAGATGCCTCGCCTCCGGAGTGTCGACACCGTGGTCTGATCACGTACACTCGCGTCCACTAACCACTGTGCACTACCATCACTTTGTCTCCTGACACGCCACAACGTATAATCACAGTACGTCATCACTGGCACAGATTGCGTCACCGCTGGCACAATGCCGTCACTCTCTCCGTACACAAAGAGTTCGTACTTGGCGCTGCTTCTTGGGGTTTAAGGAACGTATTTTCCAACTCGGCCGTTTCCTGCGACTCGACTCGTACCTGCGCTGTTGTCCCGGCGCGTGCCAATGAACTGGCTTTCGGGTCTTTCTTCTGAGGACACCACGTGCAGGCTATTTTCTGCTTTTGAGTCGAATTCAGAGTGCAGCACACCTACCTAACACACACATTTAGCAGCAGGCTAACTGACGTTTTCAACAATGACGTAAGTTATCATTCACGGCGCTTCGTACGGGCCAGATCTCGCATGCTAATCAACGGTGCCATGGCCACAGCCAGCACATCGTCACTGCTTTTATTACACTCAGCTCAGATATTTTCTTTTCCCAGCACTTTCGTCAACATGTTTCCTTGCGTCTCGCCCGATCCCACCTCCGCCAGGAATCGCGTTTCTTGCGTCATTCCGCCTTCCACAGCGGCCCCGACACGGCATCACTCACAGCAAGGCACATCCTCACCCGAAGGAACACGTACGACAGACAGACAGACAGACAGACGCAGCATGAGCCCCGCGGCCCGAGGGCGAGAGGGCGCGAGGGCGGGGGAGGAAAAGGAGGGAGACCGTGAGAACATCGGAGGCGGAGGAGGGTACATTGCAGTGCACTCGCCGCGGTCACTCGGCATGGACCCGGCCCGTCCGAGATGAGAAAGTGGCGCTGGGCTTGAGAACTTCCCACATAATTAACGAGGAAAGAAACGAAAAGACACGTGCGGACGGGGAGGAGAGTGGAACGCCTTGTGTTGCCCCACCGTCACCAACGTCCTCACACACGGACGGCTCAAACGACACCACGACGCCGCGAGAACTTTCCTGCTGTTGGTCACGCCGCGATACACCTCTCCTCCTGGCCGGCCACCGTGGAGGAGCCGAGGAGGAGCCGAGGAGGAGCCGAGGAGGAGCCGAGGAGGGGCGAGCGGCTCCTCCCTCC